CACAAATTCCCAAGCAATTAATATGGCACTTAAATTATTAACTACATTTCTATGTATTTACAAACTTGAAATATATAAGTAGGTTAGCAAAAGAAAGAGCAACAGAATGAAGTCTGGCAAAGACACATCAAGGGTGACCATATGCAAAATTTTCCTATCAATACTGTTACTTTTATTGGGCCCACAAAGCCTGGACCAAGAGAACATAAAAATTATCTACAAGCACAACTGCCTTCTCTCTATATATGTATAAATATATCTTATAGCTGTTTGTACTTCTGAGTTGTAATGAATCTCTTCCATGTGATGTCATCATTAAAAAGTATTTAGGGCAGAAAAACTGCTACTGATAGTATTAGTTCTAGGCCAGACAAATATTTAAAAACAATGAAAGTGCAAACCAAGCAGTTTTCAATAGTGCTTGATTGAAGTATTTCCTAAGCATTCAAAAAAAAAAACCCTACCTAATCTTATTTTGTTAAGAAACTTTTGAAATGAAGGACTAAATATTATTATAAGTTACAAATATATGCCAGGAAACCTAGTGTCTAGTTTGTGAGATAGAACAAATCACAAACTAAAGGGACATAGAGATATTTATTAAAAAGGATATTTATTTATTCTTTACTAGTATAAACTATAAAAGAAAGAAAAATATATAAGAGCACAGTACAAGTTATTTTTTTAATATTTTTTGAGTTATAGATTAACACAATGCCTTTATTTGCCTTTATTTTATTTGTTTGTTTTTAATGTGGTGCTGAGGATCGAACCCAGTGTCTCACTTGTGTTAGGCAAGTGCTCTGCCACTGAGCCACAACTCCAGCCCAAATAGTAGAATTTATTTTAAATAGAATAATCAAATGTGGTTGGTGTATTTGTAAACTAGCCATTCAAAACCACTACATCAAATCATAAATGAGTTACAATCATCAAGTTTGAATTCATTATGATTTAGGAGACACTAACCGTCAAAAGGAAATGACCCCTTGGTCAGGGAGATGAAAGGAAATCGAAGGAGTTGTGGGTCAGACAGTGTAAAAAGGAGTTGGAACAAGAATACCAAGAAGTCACAGTCAGGAAGAAGTGAGAGACGTAGGAAGTCACAACAGAGATTCTCCTGCTGGCCTTTCAGAAGCTAAAACATGACTATGGCCTAAGTGTGATCCATGTGGCAACAACCCGAGAGACAGCCTGTAGGAGCTGAAGGCAGCCTACAGCCAGTATTAAGCAAGAAAACGGTATTCAGTACTATCCACAAGGATTTGAATTCTGCTAAAAATTAGTGATCCTTAGAGGACCTTGGGCCTCAGGCTAGACTATAATCTTGATATGCAGAAACTACAAGATAATAAATTTGCATTTTTTTAAGAAGCTGACTGGAGCAATTAATTACACAGCAATAGAAAACTAATGTTTTGTGCTTTACAACGAAG